CATCAAACAACGTGTCGATAATGACAAGTTTAAGGTGGAGGGAGATCTTCTGTATTTTGAGGAGCGGTTGTATATCCCGAAAGGACCAACTCGACTCCGAGTACTTCAATCTCGCTACGACTTTCCAGCTGCGGGACATTTTGGATTCAACAAGACTTTGGAGCTCATTTCACGAGATTTTTGGTGGCCCCAAATGTGGAAGGATGTGAAGGAATTTGTCCTTTCTTGTGATGTTTGTTCAAGATCCAAGATCCCTCGACATCGTCCGTATGGACTTCTCCAGCCATTGCCTATTCCGCACCTACCATGGTCTTCAGTTTCTATGGACTTCATTACGGACCTACCGCCATCGAATTCATTTGACAGCATCTTTGTTGTGGTAGATCGATTTACCAAGATGGCGCATTTCGTGCCTTGCAAGAAAACATCGTCAAGTGAAGACACCGCTAGACTCTTTCTTAATAACATACATCGTTATCATGGCCTACCAGATGATATCGTGTCGGATCGAGGTACTCAGTTTGTATCCAAGTTTTGGAGGTCCCTCTTTGAGATATTGAAGGTGGATATTAAGCTCTCTTCGGCTTTTCATCCTCAAACTGACGGTCAAACGGAGCGGGTGAATCAAGTTTTGGAGCAATATTTACGATGCACCATCAACTATCAACAAGATGATTGGACTGCATATCTACTGCTTGCTGAGTTCGCATATAACAACACTCTTCATGCGTCAACTCAACAAACACCATTCTTCTCCAACTACGGATACCACCCCAAGCTCGATTTATTGAGTTCTTCAGCAAATAACAACCCAGTAGCTGAAGGATTTGTGAAGCAACTATCGGAGCTTCAAGCGACGTTGAAGCTTCAATTGCAATCTGCCCAAGAGAGTTAAAAGGCATCTGCAGATAAATATCGAAATGAGGTGCCTACTTTTAAAGTTGGAAGTAAAGTATGGCTTCTTCGACGGAATATCAAGACCAAGCGGCCATGTGACAAATTGGACTATCGGAGATTAGGGCCATTTGTTATCGGGAAGCAGATCAATCCGGTGGCATATCGTCTGGAGTTACCAGCTACTATGAAGGTACATCCAGTCTTTCACGTGTCTTTGTTGGAACCTTATCGAGAGTCAGCTTTTCCCCAAAGAGTACAAAGTCCGCCACCAAGTATCAAAATTGAAAACCATGAGGAATACGAGGTGGAAAAGGTACTAGATTCACGGCGTAATAGAAGAAAATTGGAGTATTTAGTGCATTGGAGTGGATACGACATCAATGAACGAACGTGGGAGCGTGCCGAAAATCTTGCCAATGCGCCAAAAAAGGTACAAGAATTTCATCAACGATATCCTCATAAACCTAAGCCGATTCAACGATAGCTTCTTGCTGAAGCTTGCTCATCAAGTAGCATAAAAAGGGAGGAGGGCACCTCCAAAACCCATAGTTCGATAGTGTAGAACTTTGTTAGCAACTATAGTTTGCTCTCATCATTTTAGCCTTTAGACATGGATAGTCAAGATACTACACTTATTATGTCATCTTAAGCGACTAGCTCACGAAGATGACCGCGAGATGAAGAACCGCCTGCACCACGACGACGTCGGAGGATACCGAGCAACAGATCGCTAGTAATTGTATTTGAGGTCGAGCCTGCCTACGACGGTCAGCCAGAAGGTGTGTTTGGAGGACAGTTTCACAATGAAGACACAGAAGTCCACGCTTGGTCAGAGGTTGAAGGTGTTGGTCACTACCGTTGGCTCCAAGGGCCGATGAATCATTTGCCTCGCGAACAACAATTAGAATTCATAGCGGATGTGATGCGACAGATTTTCATTTTCTTGCGTTGGTATTGACTGATAACAACATTGCTTCTCGGAGACCTCGAAGCTAGAAGAGGAGGTGATGTCATGGACATACATTGGAAGATTCTTCGAATATTCTTCTAGAATATTATCTAAAGATTCTCTAAAGATTCCTTTATAAGGTTCTAGAAGATTCTTAGAACATTCCCTAAAGATTCTCTTAGAAGGTTCTAGAATATTCTTAGAAGGTTCTAAAATATTCTAATAGATTCTAGGAAGTTGCTCGAGAAGTTTCCTAATTAGTAGAAGTTGTTGGAGAAGCGTCGTAGTTAGCGGAAGTAGCTCGAGAAGCTTCCTATTCAGTAGTATATATAGGAGTCGAGGCTGAAGGGTTCTTCAGTCTCGACAACACATCTCTTGGAGTTCTAGCTCACCTTTCTGGTATTGTTCTTGTACTCATCTGTTTAATCTAGTTTTGCCACTTCTTCTTGAACTTCTTGTTAGATTTCAAGTCTGTATTTTGTGTCCGTGACAGTATGTCCATGATATATGATCATCTTCTTAATTAGTATATATAGGAGTAAGACTTTAAGCATTTGTAATCTTATCAATGTCTTTCTTACAATCTTATCTTGGTTTAAGATTCTTAAATTACTTTGTGTTTAGAAATAATAATGATAATGCATTATTTTTATGTATATAAACATAAATATATATATATCAATGGCAATTAATCAAAATTTTGAGATTCTATGGCCAATAACACATGTTTCTAGTAACATATATATATATATATATATATATATATATATATAGAGAGAGAGAGAGAGAGAGAGAGAGAGAGAGTTTTAATAGTATATAGTAAATAAATACATAAATAAATAAAACATAATCTTAAAGTAGCCAAATTTCAAGAATAACATGCCAAATCTTTTAGTTTAGAAATACAACACTACATCTTATCTTTTCATGAATAAATATATATATATATATATATATATATATATATATATATATATATATATATTAGTTTTTTATTTTAATTTTTAATTTTTATTAATTTTATTTCATTTTATTAAAGAAACACTTTGTATTATGATATTATAATATAGCTTATTTTAATAAAAATAATAAATTAAATATTTTTAATTATTTATTTTAAAAAATCTAAAAGTATAAATTTTAGAAAAAAATATCTTATTCAACATCTTATTTGCTTAAATTGACTTCAAAAAAATATTGAAATAAAATTCTTATGCTAATATTAATAATTATTGATATGTTTATTATAAGATAATACTTTAAAAAGACTATAATATAAAAGCCTTAAAAAATTTCTTAAAAAAAAATTTAAAAAAAAAACTTAATTTTGGAGATAATATAAAATAATAAGAAGCAATAAATTTTACTAAATTTTTATTTTTATTACAAAATCAAATACATTAATTTATGTTTTAACTTTAAATTTTTGAATACCAAGTATATTTACATATATATAGTAATTTTCAACATATTTTGTGTGAAGCATAATAAACCCTCACTAGTTGAGAGTCTATTCTAATTCACAACTATTAACTGGCTTCCAATATAATTATTTAAATTGTCTTCTGCTTTGTCTTGAATTCTCAATTTTCTTAAATAGTAAAAGCCACTTTTCCATACCACAAAAACAACACAAGGCATTCAAATAACTCAACTTAAAACACACATTTGAAAGACATTTTTTTAAATGATTTAATTTAAGTCTATACAATTTTTTTTTTATTTATTTTTTATTTTTTTTATCTAGTATTAATTATCATCCAAAATTATTATCCATGAATGAATTTTCATCCACAAATGAAAATTCATCCAATTTCACTCATCCTTCATCTACAAAAGTTTTTGTACAACTTGCTTCTAATTCATCATTGAATTTATCCCAATAAATTTTTCCAAAACCTAATCTAACATCAGTCCTGATTACTTGCCTTAAATTGCATTTAATTTAACTTGGTTGCCTACACCCACTGGCCGTCAGAAGGTCTCACAGAGTGCTGAAGAATCATTGGTGAATCTGCTGAAAAATGAAGTGCGCCTCCACTTCTTGCTCATCCTAGGAACTTCACTCCAGTCTCAACACTTGGGCTTCACAATTCAATGCTCTAGCTCATTGATGAATACCTCCTTGTCAATACGGATGAGGTAGATGCATCCATCGGCAACAAGGCTTGAGCTAGAACAATACGACCTTTATATCGCCTTCATCGAATTAGCAGGAACTTCAACTATTCTCTCTGTAGTGAATGCTCTATCGAGGCTGAATTAAGGATTCGATGTGAAGATCGTGAAGATTGCTGTTATTGGTGAATACTCGGTTGCTTGTATTCCCAGGAGTACATAGCCTCTTCCATCCCCCTCGACATCACGTGGTTCGATAGCATCGGAGTTTGTCATTACCAATTGAGAGCTCACAATTTCCATCAAGATCGTGAAGATCTTCGTACAGAATAGCCGCCGCAAGTCAATCTCGTTGTGCACAACAGCAAACACCCAGATCGAGATCCCTTGTTCAGTCGCACAATTCTAGGTCGGAATACGCCGCACTTTGCCGACTAGTGTACACCGCCAGTAGCAAGTACGCCAAGAACACCGCTATTCGGCTTTCTGGTAACAATAGCACCGACATAAATTTGGAAACAGTAACCAAACCAGGGACTGTGGCAAGATAACAAAGAAGCCACTCGCCCTTGTGATTATCTTCCATTTTCTCTTTACTTTTCTTTTCTTTTCTTTTTCTTTTATCTTTTTCTTTCTCTTCTTCTCCTTTTCTTCTTTTGATTTCTTTTTCTCCTTTTCTTTTTTGAATTTTTTTGAATAAGGGATTCTATTTTCGCTCTCAGCCGATTAAATTTTTAATAACAATTATTAGAGAGAAAATATTTATTTTAAAATTCCTTCTCGAGGGAATTCTACAAGAGACCTAATCTTGTATTGAAATCCTATTTTTTGCTATTTATCTCAAAACTTCTGCACTAACTAACTAAAATAATGATAAAATGCACCAGAAGTGCATCTTTTATACTAAAACACACCAGTGTGTCAATTTCGTGACTCACATTTTCATAGAAATTTTTAGATTTTTTTAAAAACCATCTCAAAAATACTAATTTCAAAAATACAACACTATTCATGCTTTACATAGGGGGAAAATAAATAAATAAATAAATAAATAAATCATTTTAATTTATGTTCTGTTTTTGTATTGCTGCGACCATAACGTACTCATGTCAACACATTCGCCTTGTGTAAGACTCTAAAACTCTTTACTACAACTTCTTTTCAAGAGGATCAATGTCAACACTCCCTACACAATTTGATGCAAGCACAAGAGCAATCCACTCCACAAAACTCGGTATTCTTTGTTGTGAAACTCATGGGAAACTAACTGACGGGCGAAGCGAGAACTTGCACTTATCAAAGTTACTAGCAATGGTGCAGCTGGACCTTCCCCAGGAATTCTAAATTTCACTTTTTGAAGCAAATTTCACAACAAAAATAACAGAATAAAGTAAACAAACAGACGGTCCAAGCGGCAGATTACAGTATTATAGGTACCAAGTAATGCCTGCAGAGATCTGTACAACACATAATTGTGCACCTTCTCCAAAATCAGAGGAGGAGTCCATTATCATGGTTCGAGCAGTTTTTAAGGAGTGTCTAGATCAGTACTAGGATTTCGAGCCATGCGAGATGTCGCTGTTGGATTAGTTGTGGTAGTATTCATCTGACCCCAGCATATCCCATGCTTGCACGCTGGAGTTGTCATTCCTCAGGATTAAAATTGCAGCCGCATAGATCCCGATCATTCCGATAACCCATATATACATTGTGGAAATCAAGGGCCAGCTGCCCGTGCAAAATTGTTCGAGACGTAAGAGTAAGATCTGTCGCCAACAACTTCATTTATGTTTGTGTATGAACCACAACTTAGAGGAAGGGAGCATAATAAAAGAGCTGGTAGCTGTTGGTGGACAAGCTTGAACGGTTGATTCCCGTTGCCGTGATAAACATTTTTCACCATGAATTGAGTGGCTGTCCCCGATCACTCACATTTCTAGAACGACAACTGTTCGCACACAAGATGGAATGCAGTGTTAGAAAGATGAAAGCTCGGCGGTAACCACGAAGATGGTGGTCCAAGCCATGATGAGAAATCATTCGATGGATCATGAATGCTACATACACAAGCGGCAACAGAATGATCATAGAAGGCGATGCTTACACTCAGAGTCTGTTCGAATCCACTTTCCGTTATGGTTGCAAGCCCAGCCCTTGCCTAAGCTAGCACCTCGTCTTCTCGACAGCTCCCCCGTCAAATCAGCGGCCTGATTTGGTTCTTTTTGTGGACAGTGTGGCAGCGGCGATGAGTTTGGCGTTGACGAGGTTGATGTTGCTCCGCTGTCAACGTTTGCAATGCACGGAGGCCCCTGAAGATTTGTTTCAATTGGATCGAATCACTGTTAATACCTGCTTACGAAACTAAGTCTTCCATTCTTGTGAAGATATGAAGTATGAATGTACCTGCTTCCGGAATTCTCTCTCGGCGGTCAGAAAATTCTGCTTTTTGACTGGAGCAACTTTAGCTGTAACACAAAGGCTGCACCCTGACCGCCATAGCCGCTTGATTCCTCTCGAGGCACGATTTTTACCATCAGCTCTCATGTGCAGCTCGCGATCGACGTTGTCCAGCTGCTTCTCAGGTGGCTTCTTCCGCTTCGATTTAATGTCCGATTTCGACGTCCGCCATCTGGAAAGCACAACGCCGCACCTTCGCTGTGAGAAGGTTTCTTCATCAGAATGATCATCAGTTGGGGAGGTCCCCACATGAAGCTGCTTTCCAGGTCGACTCTCTAACTGGGTCTCCACTTCTTTTCGTGGATCTATGGCTGCTTGCAAGAGGACTGCGGGAATGTCTCTTCCGACAGAGGAGAATAACTGCAGGTAATTCCTTGCTGCGTGGCCAACCGATACTACTCCAAAAGATGCATCATGGTCGCCGAAGACTGGGAGATCCTTCCTCGTGATGGTGGTACTGGAAGCGCATGCTGGAAGAGGATCTCGTGACGCCGACTGACAGGATTCGGCTTCGTCTTCGGAGCTTCGGACTTCGCGATCAACGAGTGGCACATTGGGCACACTGTTGCGTCGCAAATTGCTCTGAGAAGGTTTGCGTGGGCGACCATCAAGGCTATTACGCACTCCCGCAAGCTGGTCCAAGGCGAACGTCCCAATAGCAAGCAAACCCTCCTGTTCGTGGCTGAACACGAACTGGATTGTCTCCTGCAACCTGTTTTCCCATTCAGAGCTCAAATCATTAGCTCCACGAGACAAGTACTGATCTCCTAACCCAGAATCTTCTACATGATGTCCAGAGAAATCCTTCGAAGTTCGACGAAGACCTACGTCCGTCTTCTGACGCAGCGATGATTCGAACCATCCACCCCTCTCCGATTGACATTGATCAGCAGTTTCAGGGCTATGGGTGCGCCTTGTGGCGTCAGAAGATAGAAACCAGAAAGGTACTTTACCTGCACAACATTGCTAGACATGATGAGCAGCTCAGTAACATAATTGACCGACATAGTATGATTGAATTGGGCACGTATATCTGTAAATATGTCAGGAAATACTTGATAAGCTCGAAACAACCATGTATTATCTATCATTTGATTTTCAGGTTATTTAGTTTATTAATCAGTAATTTATTTTTGATTATTGAGCGCGAACGGGAGCACGTCGTTTTTCCTCTTGAATTAGCCTCTTAAATTTGCACCATGAGGAGTCAGACATGACCAGTGACTGCAGTAATCGAAACTAGCTTTCAGCGTCTTGAAGTTTTTGGTCTGATTTGAGTAGGTTCTGTTAGGATTCAAAGGCAAATAAGAGCCGAGTCGAGCTTCATGCTGGATGATCAAAGCAGATTTGTAGTTACTTACTAATTTAAACTTGGCCCAAGTCTTCGGAAAAGCACTAGCTGCGCTATTACTGTGTAGGGATTTAAAAAAAAAAAAAAAAAAAAAAAAAAAAACCTGGTTTCTGAAATTCTTTGGCGCTCGTCTGGAGAGGTGGGGGATCCTGATTCTTTCCCCACCCGAATAACTGCACAATAATAAATGATTTTTAATTAGTATAATCCTTCTTCAAGGATCTTGCCTGTAAAGGCTGTCATGCAGCAGGTACTTAAAATTTGCACATGCAATTCCTTCAAAGCTGGGCCGCATACCTTCATGATGGGAGGGTCGTGCTTGATCCAGCTGTTTGAGTTGATCGATCAAGAATGGATAAGAACTGGTAACGGCGCCAATGAAGACTTCGTGATTAGCTCCAGAGCTAGCATCTTGTGTCACAAAAAAAATACTCCACTGTCAGTTTCTATTCTGCACAAGATCACCCTGAGTTCATTTGTAGCCCAGGGTGCCCTGAACCAAGACGAAGCAGCTAGAATGTCATAAACAGTCCAGGTAGTTGGAACAATAAGGACAGTACTTTATCATACATTTCGAAGAGGGAGGGATTGATTCAATGTGGATTGTAGAGATTGAACAGAAAGTAGTTGTCGAAGACCGAGCCTCCATCTTCCAGAAGAACGATGCGACAAGCATGTTGGCTACAAGAAATCAGAACGAGATGGTAGCACCAGCGTGACACCACAGTTATCACCCACCTGATGCAACGTGAAATGCGTGCTTCCAGTACTTGGCGCCTGGCTGAGAGTGCAGCCTGTAACAATCGTGCACCACAGTTTAGCAGAGAAGGACTCAGGACGGCTTGGGCCAGGTGGCTAGACATGCTCTTAGTAGTGGGCGTTCTGCATTACCGAGCGAAAAATTAGCTTACACGCACCTTCGACAAAGGGCTTGGAGTTTAAGTATGGTCGCAGTCGCTTCTCGTCGCTTATCAAGCTAGATTCCCGAAGAGCTGGCTGATTCTGAAGAAGCTGTGCGTCGATCGATTACTGGAATGAATACTCATGAGGCACATTGAAGACGTGTCGCCACGCGCTGACGTCGTCGTCCGCGGACTAGCTTCTGGGGGAAGGAGCTGAGGGTCTGACAATACGGGATCAAGACTTGTACCAGAGCCGGTGCATCATTTGTAGAAATGACCCCACAACAGAAGTCCTTTACGAAGGGTGGCATAAATCCCATACCCTGTCTTTACAAATGAGGACCAGCACACTATTAATCTACCAATAAGGATCAAAGACTAAAACTTCACAACGCTCAAACAGAAAACACGTACATCTGTGTCAACCTCCCCTAATAATGTGCCGGCAACAGATGCATCATGCAATCGACGTCATGGCAGGAGATATATATATATATATATATATATAGAAATAGATATAGAACAAAGATATGTACATATACCCCAGAAGAGGAATAAATCTGATCAGCTGAAGATCCATGTTGACCGAGGTTGATATGTTTTCCCCAGAAGAACCCCACCAAAATCCTTACAAGATCGCTGTTCTGACCAGTCTAAGTAGAATACTCCGCCCTGTGTTGCACTTTGCAAATCCAATTCCAGATTCAGACGTGTTTCAGTTATTACAGTTTCACAATAGAATGTAGAGAGCCTGGCAAGTCCCCGTCGCTGCTATTAAAAAAAAAAAGCGAAATCCTACTAAACTTGTAGAGATCCGTGAGTGATTGGAGCGTGCGGAGGGGGCCACCTCACAGCCAGCTTTGGAGCTTTGCCTCTTTGGATTTCATGCTGCACACAGCCAACCGTCAGGCACGGCTCCCACCGATCTCTGCACACTACTTGCTCGTTGTGGTATCGTGCCAAATGCATCCCAGAACCCCAATTTGCAGAGGAACCTGATATTCTGGGTGGTTTTTCCCTCTAGCCTAGGCCAGACTCCACTCACAATCTCTCTTTGAAGTGATCTCATGCGATCGATAGCATGCAAAATGGTTCGCGTTCCTTGATGCACCAGAGAGCAGAACTAGATGATGCAACTGTAGAAAACTTGATGCATGCTCTTTTTATTCGTTTGGATCAAGCACACCGTTGTGAAGTGCACATCTCGGAGCACATTTCAGAGCACAATTGCTTCCCCTATTTTAAACTTCATTTCATTTTTTCTGTTTTTTCTAACTATTTCATTTGTTTAGATATGCCAATTGTAAGCGTTTGCAACACACTAGTAAAAAATGAACACTAGAAGAAATGCGATCGGATAGCTATCGTATCAAGAGTTTATGTGGTTGTACATATTACTGGTGGTTTCTTCTACTATTCGCACCTTCTAATTCATAGGGTTGAAAATAGGAATATAAAGCTGTATGAAAGATTTCAAAACATTTTCAAGAATATGATTCTCTTTGTATTGTTCTTGTTTCACAAAGATATTATGCCATATTTTTAAACTTAATTATGGCTTTAGTGGAATGGGCACCCAACTTATATCTAGTATTGGATAAATAGAAAATCTTTGTGGTTCCTTGTACAGAAATATTTTAATAATCCTAAACCATTGATTTTTCTAATTGTTGATAAATAATTTTGTGTTTTTTTCTTTTAAAAACTCAAAATTTTAACCATGCACCTCTCCTACCGATATATTATGGACTCCCAAAAATTGGTTGCCATCAATAAGATGCTCATAAAATTTGAGGTAGCTAATTGGCAACTAACTGTTGGGAATCTCTAAGATATTGAGAGAAGAGTTGCAATGTTAAGGATTTGGGGTTTTAACAATAATACCCAATACCATTGATTGGATTGGATTAGATTGGATTAAGCAATTAGATTGGATTAAGAGCTTTAAGTTTATTAAAATGTTCTAACACAAAGAGCCATTTGGATATTTTGTTCATTCATTACCAGTTGGGTACCTATTTCGCCAGTGCAAGCTGGGTACTGTTCTGAAAAATTGCTCAATTATCCCTTCTGTAACCCCATCTTTCTCCTCTGTACACAGTTTGTTACATTTTGTAAAGAATGCACAAATGACCCAGTCTCCTTTCCTTGTAAATTGTAAAATTAACTCCATTCTTGTGGTCTGATACTCTCTAATACAGATAATGTTAAACTCATAGCCCACATGGAGGGAGGAATGTAGCAGCTCTGATGAATTATTCCCTTGGTTTTTTTTTTCCTCCCCCCTCTGCCACTTTCAGGAAGCTCCTATTCCAAAGCATCATTTTGACTTTGTACCTTAAAGTGCTAGAGGCCAGTGCTGAGCCTAGTGGAGGAGATGATGGTGAGGAGTAAACACCTCAGGCTCCTTTCTCAATATAGCATGCCAAAGCAGCTGTATCCCAGTGTTTTTGTTGCTGTGCCACCACTCTGAATTGAAACCTTCTTTTCTTCCCTTTCTTTCCTAGTTTCTGGTTGTAAATATATTCTGTGTTTGTCCAAATGCTTTGTGGATGATGAACTACTCAGTGGGAGGAACCAAGTGCAAGCAAGCAAGTGGAGCCCAAGCCACAGATTTAAGCCTCTTGTGTGTCACTGGGGCTGAGCTGTACTTTGCACTGCTGCACTGTACTGACTGGCTGACTGTTGTTGCCATCCTGCCCGCATTTGTGCTGTGATTTTAACAGTTAATTGTGTTATGTGGCCATGGAGCCAGAAAAGGGAAGGGCCAAGTGAGGGCAAGAGGGAAGAGAGTTGTTTTGGGAGTAGAGGTAGTGGCTGGAGAGAGGCAGAGACTGAGGGGCTGCTGGTGTCAGAACAGGGGCACTCAAGTGTCCCAACTACCAGGCTTGATGCAGCATGAAGGTCCAGATTTGGGGCAGGGACTGGAATTGAAGTGAAAGACTTTCTATATTACACTAAAATTCTCCCTTCCTATCTTTAGAGGCCTGCATTGTTTGTGGGTCTCCCAGTTCAAAATTGGCAAAGCTGTTAGTGTGGGCTTGTGGGTGGGATCGGGTGGAGTGGGGGAGAAGACATAGGCTGGACGAGGGCTGAATCACATGGGGGGAGACAAACCCCCTATCAAGACTGCAAGTAAGCCTCCCCTCTGCAATGCTCTCTTCTTCTTCTGGTGGTGGTCTTTGAATTCCTACTTGGGCTGTGGTTCAGAGCTACTGGAGTGCATAGAAAACAGTTCTAAAAACTGTGTCCATGATGTGGGACCTCAGGGCATGCAACATGGAACATGCCTGATTTGTGAGTGAACAAATGGGTGACTTGTGGATCTTAGAGATGGCCCCCCATCTTGTTTAGTTTTGGAGTTCAGTGTTTTTTTGTTTTTTTTTTTTTCGGTTTTTTTTTAAAACAAGAGCATAAGAAGATCCTTGCATCCTGTCCTGTGCCTGACCCATGAGCTGTGAAGACGTCCATCCACTCATGCATTAATCCATACTGAGTGGAGTGATTGGGAGTGTAAATTGCCCCAAGGACTGAGCTGCCAAGTCTGTTCTACCCCCTTGCAAAGCACACTCTATTGTCCTGCAAGGAGATTCTGGGTTAGCTGGTTTTGTCGTCTTTCTGTGGGGAGTGTGGCATTATCTGTGTTCTTGTGCCCATTTCTCTCAACATCAGAAGGGGGGAGAAGAGAAGGGGCACTGGTGAGCTCACTGACTGACTGACAGGTGTTTGTCACACTTAAAAGAAGTCTTTGGCACCTGCCTCTCTTTCTCTCTTCCAGATGCATGAGTCACACTACCATCAAGAGCTCTTACATTTCCAGACAACAGAACATGATACAAACTACATTACTATGTACTACAGCTCCTTCTCTGTGATCTGCAACAGTGATTTTTTTTTTTGCATGTGGCTATTGCCACAACACCTTTTACTTGGCACACAGAAACCCTAAAATCTGGAATGACCCAAATTTTTGTGCTAGTAGTCTAATTATCTGTGCGCTTAGCAGATGTGTGTGGATAGCAGAAATTTTTGTGCACTTAACTACAATGCACATTTCGAGCCATGTCAGTTGTCATGTCTTTCTTTGTTGAAGGCAGGCTGTGATTTACCAAGGATCGAACCAACTTGGGCATACAGGTGTACTGCACAAGCGAGGAACTGAGAGTCATTGTTTGGGGAATGAATTGGGAAATTATTGGGTGAGGGCAGCACCACTATGGAGACAATGAATGAAGACAATGGACAGATGGTTAATTTTTAGATTTTGAGTTTTGTGCGCTTAGCCTGTTTATTTGTGTGATTAGCAGAAATAGCATTTTTTTTGTGCACTTAGCATATTTTCTATGAGCTCCTAAAAAATTTGTGTGCAGAGTAAAAGGTGTTGTAGCAATAGCCATTCCTTTTTTTCTTTTCTTTTTTTTTTCATATGCCTAACCTTCTAACATTAAATTCAGTCACATGCAGTAACTTATCCAAATCTTGTTTGATGTGCAGTATTCACTGAATGGAGTTTCAAATCTCTTCTCTCTCTGAATGTATTGTTCAATTTTGTGAGCATAGCCAAGCATCACAACTCCAATGTACAAATTATATAGCTACATATTACAGCATGTGATACATTACTAGATGTCAATTATTACATACAAACATTGGGGTTTAGAGTGCATGGTGAGATCAGGATGTGAGGGCTCCACAAGGGTGTGAGGAGCTGTAAGAAACACACAAAAGGTTCATGTTGCATGGAGTAGAAGCAGGCACTAGTTGGTCCTTGCTGGGAACATGTGATAGGAGGGGGGAAGACAAGGGACAGCAGGAAGAGGAGAAGAAGGGGAGACTTAGGACATTTCCACTGCAAGCAACATGGTTTCTCCCCCCCTCTTCCTCACAATTAACCAAGCTCAAGCACAGGGTGTGAGCTCAACTGGACATGAGGCAGGCAGAGGAGGAAAATGTGATTGGTGCATGGTGTCGGTGGGCTGCCACAAATATTAAAAACAAGAGACAACAAACAAAGAAGGGCAGCAATAATGGCCTACCCTCATGGGTTTGGCCGAGAAGACCCTTCAAAGTGGGAGGAAGGCCGAGGGCAATTGTAACCATTGCAGAATTTGCCACATACCCAGCTCCCTCTATTGATCTCTCATTGTGCACTGTAGCCCAATTCACTCCCATTCAAGTATTTTCCCTTTGGCAGCTTTACTTGTCAGTGCATCTGGGCTTGCTCAGGGACCTTCCCATCACAGCCAAGCGCCTCAGTGGCTTTGTCTTCACTGCCCATAATCAACTGCCGCTTCAGCTCTCTTTGTGTGCTGCAGTGAACTGTCAGAGATCAAACAAAGAAGAAGTGGTACAAGAAAGAATGAGAAGCAACTGAAGGATGGAGAGACAAAGACAAAAAGGAAGGCAACAGCTGCTGGGAAGGGCAGTGCATTTTTGGACTCTTCAAGCTCTTCTTTGGGAAGCTTCTGGAGCTTTTGGACTCCTCAGCCCCAATTCTGTGTCCTTGGCAGGTTTACTTTTGGCTTCGAATTTTGGATGGCACTGGAAGTTACTGTCTCCACATGGAAGCTTCTCCCTCCTCCCTCATTCTGACGCGTTCCCTCTCTCTGTTTGCTGCACGGCTTCTTGTCTCATGCTCTGGCCCACAAATGATGGTGATCATGAGGTGGCATTCTTTTTAAATACTAGAACATCCTTTAGAGTTGATTTTGCAGAATAAGTGCCCAGTTTGCACTCTGACATTTTTACTTCCTTTGTCCTTCATCCTTGAGTATTCACAGACATAGATGTTGGGTTGTTGCTGCAAATTTTGTCAGCAGCTTACTACCGTCCAACGAATTGTTAGGAGTCCCTAAAACATTGGTGAGAAGGATACAGAGTGTAGAGTTTGAGGGTTTTTGTGTGTATATATATATATAGATAGATAAACGTAATATCATTTTTGAACAATTAGACACAATGAAAAATTTAAGGTGTATTAAAATGCTCTTGTGCAAGGAACCATTAGGATTTTCTATTTTTCCAGTACAAGATACCAGCTCGGTACCTATTCCACAATGGCCCTTGAGAATGCAGTGGATTTTCTATTGCTTTCTTCCATTAGAGAAATCTTGGATGTTTTTACTTTGACCCACAATATAATTGCTTTTGGTTTTAATAAGCTTATCTAAGGCTCCTGTGGTTGTAGTCCAAGCTTGCTACTTAAACAATTTCAAATGAGGGATTGAAGTTGTTCATTTTATCACAGAATACACAAAATACTGGAGGAAACATGACTGCACGAATCTGCTATTGTGGGTGGTTCATCCATTGACAAGTTCACCATTGAAGAGGTTGATCCAAATTTCATTCTACACCTTCGGTACAATTTTGGTTCACAAACACTTGAAACGACAATTTTACATATTCAAGGCAGGTTTTAGTCAGGTGATGAGCAATCTTCGTTCTGCTCTCGTTTCAAAGAGTTTAGCTTAATTATTGATTTTTATACGTGGGTTTACTGGACACAATGCATTGTAACCATGGAGATTGCAGAGATTCAAATGAATCATACATGTATGTATTTTTTTGCTCAAAATACTTGCATCATCAATCCCTTCATTGTAATTTTTCGGAACAAGGATGGCAAGAGAGAGGATTTGATGTGTTGTCTCTCAGCCAATGAGGAGTTCATTCCTCGGTGAAGCTCTGTCGCGGAGCCGTGTCAGTTAGAATCAGATTCGTCATCTTTCTCACGCGCACATGAAACGCTCATTCTGATGCGCGCGAAGTGTCTCGTGCTCCAGTTAGCATCGTCTGCTCTGCCACAGCGGGAATGCCCTGCCACCGCGCCGTCTCGCTCCTCCGTAAGATCTCACTTGCGTCATGGTGAATCGATTCGTGCACTTCTGCTGTGTTCATGACCCTTGACTGTGCTTGGTTGCACTAATCTGTTTGACTCGTCGTGATCAGCGCACTTCATTACTATTTTATAGGAATGGGTTTTGCATTTGTCTGTCATGATTGTAACAAGGGTTTCTAGTCTGAGTGAGGTATGTGCGATCAGACTATGTTGTTTGTTGTGTTGTGTGATCATACTCGGATCATTTAACCCCGAAGTTTGGTGTCCTGCTTCAGTTGTTGAAGATCAGAGTGGGGTGTTGCACCTGAGCTTATTCTGTTGTACCAAGCAGAGATGATGAGAGGGATGAGTTGGGGATGGAGGTTTAGGAGAAGTTCGTGGTAATGATGATGATGATGATGGCGGGGAACGCGACAGAGATCAAGAGTTGTGTAGGGACATGGGTGCTGCGACACTATTATGGATGGACTACCTGCTGCAGAGAGCAATTTGTCGAGTCCCACATCGGTTGGGTTTATCTCCGTGTTCTTCGAGCAGGATGTGCTGTGCTGAAATGCTTCGCTAGGGTATATGCTGCCGGCCATTTTCAAGGATAATCGCCCTTACCTTGTGCTCGGACAACCATGATTAAGGCAGCATCATTGCTATATGAACGTTTCAGCTAGACTGGCGGTGTGAGCAAATCCGATGGCTGAGAAAATTGTCGTATCCATAAGCTCTGTAAAGCATTACTTTGTGATTCATGAAGTCCTTGCTTTCTCGAAACTGTGTTTCCAGAAAGAATCCTATCTCAAAGAGGTAGGTACTCTGAAATGGGTCATCATCTGCGTGCACATCGACTTGTGTGATTGTACAGGGCGGAGTAGCTTTTGGACTCTGGTGTAAATCCGGAGCCAACACTATTGGTGCTGAATCGTGCTGGGCGTTGCTGAGGTGTACTTCGTGCAATGATGAATTCTTGTTGCTTGTAAGCTGTTTACAAAGTGGGCAGATTCGAACCATCGTATTAACGAGACTAATAAGATCCCGAGCGAAAGAGCCTTTTCATATATGGTAAGACGATTGACTGCAGAATGTCGCCGTTCTGCATCATCAATATGAATGCAAAGCCTTGCCGATTTTTTAGTTTCCTGACGGATGCTTTTGGGATTAAACTCGAAATCTAATGTTAGCGAAGAAGTGGGTAGCGATTTAAAGCATAATTCTCTCAAATCTTGTCTCTTTCTTGTGTTGGGCGAGAAATCTGGCACTCAAAAGATCATGATCGCTCCTGAAAGAAGCAGAAATAATTTGAAGAATATTCCGAAATGCTCTGCTGCTACTGTCAAAAAAAACCTAGAGGAAGTTGATTAGAAAGATCAGTGGTGTTAATATTAGGTCATACAAGGTAAACAAATGAGTATCATTCCAACATTCGGATGAACAGACTGGATATAGAACCTTACATGTCATAGTCTAGATTTCATTCAAACTTATTGTGCACATCAAATTTCACTATGTTTACTACAACAAGCTATCAAAATGCACACAGTGTTTGATAGAAACAAGTGAGTTGAGAGGCATAGTCTCTAATTAGATAAGGATTGTAGAGCTATTCAAATAGAGTCCTAGTTTAGGATAAGAACAATTTTATTTATATACACTATTCATAGGTATGGATTTGGTAGTCACAAATGAATTAATGAAGTTGGAGGGACACTCTAACTATTTGATATGGAGTTGCAAGGTTAAGATGAACTTGATGCAAGAGGATCTATGGAAATACATAGAATCAACAAAAAGGGCTTCAAGCTTAACAACATTTAATAGAAGAGTTTCTCAAATAAGAATCTAAACAACCATCATAGTAGAAGCAAGCATTGTTGTGCCATAGTTTCTTACAAACACACAAGCATAATGTATTAGAATTGGACAAATCATAACATCTATGCTATGTGATTTAATTCTTTCCAATGTCTTACATATCACAAAATCGAAAGGCCTTTGGTTACAATTATAATAACTATATGATATCAAAAACAATTTATGATGACTATCTTTGAAGGAAAAACTCTTCTCATTACAACTAGCAAAAAAGAAGTCAATTAAAATTTACCTTTATAAAATCAACAACTTATTAAATCAATTAGCAAGTTTTGCCATACTTATAACTGACAAATATTTAATCAATCTTACCTTGTAAAGTTTTCAAAAGTCTTGGTCGACCTTCAGACAAATTCAAAGAAGTAAACATCAACCAACTTTTATAAACTTGAAGGTTTATTAATATGAGAAGAAACAACCAAGGCTATTAAAAAAAAATTGGAAAGAAGCAAAAGAAGTTTTGTACATAAGGATTATGTCACGAACAAAGAAATACAGACTCGAGATCTAACAAGAAGTTCAAGAAGAGCTGGCAAGAATTAGATTAATCAGATGAGAACAACACCAGAGACGTGAGCTAGAGCTCCAAGAGATGTGTTGTCAAGACTAAAGAACTCTTCAGCCTCAATTCCAATATATACTTCTATTTAGGAAGCTTCTCAAGCAACTTCTACCAACTAGGAAGCTTCTAGAAGGTTCTAGAGACTTGCTTCTAGAAGGTTCTAGAAACTTATCTCTAGAAGGTTCTAAGGACTATGTCCCTAATATCTTCTGCCAACTAAGAAGCTTCTAGAAGGTTCCAGAGACTTGCTTCTAGAAGGTTCTAGAAACTTGTCTCTAGAAGTTTCTAAGGATTATGTTCCTAACATCACCCCCTCCTTTAGCTTCGAGGTCTCTGAGAAGCAATGTTGTTGATCAGTACCAACGCAAGAAAATGAAGATCTGTCACATAACGTCTGCTATGAACTCCAATTGTTGTTCACGAGGCAAGTGGTTCATCGGCCCTTGAAGCCAACGGTAGTGGCCGACTCCTTCAACTTTTGACCAAGCATGAACTTTCGTGTCCTCATTATGAAATTGTCCTGCAAACACGCCTTCTGGCTGACCATCGTAAGCAGGCTCGGACTCAAATACAATCACCAGTGATCGATTACTTGATATCGTCTATCGTCGTCGTAGTATAGGCAGTTCTTCATCTCGGGGTCACCTTCGTGAGCTAGTCGGTTGAGATAATCTGACTGGCATAGTATCTATCTCTTGGCTATCCATATCAGAAGACCAAACTATGGCTACTGAAAAAATTCTATTTTATCTTGGAAAAAATAACTACATCAACTACGAATTTTGGTGGTGCTCTTTCCCTTTCTTATATTCTTGGGTGAGCAAGCTTCAGAAGGAAGCTATTGTCAATTTGGCTTCGGTTTATGAGGATGTTGTTGATGAAACTCCTGTACCTTTTGCGGCACATTGGCGAGATTTTTAGTTGGCCCCAACGTTCGCTCATTAATGTCGTAGCCGCACCAATAAACAAGATACTCCAACTTGCCCCACCTTCGCAGTGAATCCAGTACCTTTTCAACCTCGTATTCCTCATGGTTCTCGATCTCAATACTAAGTGGCAGACATTATACTCTTCTAGGAAAAGATGACTCTCGATAAGGCTCTAATAGAGAAATATGAAAGACTGGATGAACCTTCATAGAAGCCAGTAATTCCAGACAGTACGCCATTGGATTGATTTGCTTCTCGATGATAAATGGTTCCAATCTTCGATAGTCCAACTTATCACATGGTCGCTTAGTCTTGATATTCTGTTGAAGAAGCCATGCTTTATCTCCAATTTTGAAAGTAGGTGCTTGATTCCGAAATCTATCTGCAGACGCCTTGTAGGATTCTTGAGCGGATTGTAATTGAAGCTTCAACGTATTTTGAAGCTCTGATAGTTGTTTCGCAAATCCTTCAGTTGCTGGATTGTTATTTGTTGACGGACTCAATAAATCAAGCTTCGGATGATATCCATAGTTGAAAAAGAATGGTGTGTATTGAGTCGATGCATGGAGGGTGTTGTTATATACAAACTCGGCTAATGGTAGATATGTCGTCCAATTGTCTTGCTGATAGTTGATGCTGCATCGTAAGTATTGTTCCAAGACTTAGTTCACCCGTTCCGTTTGGCCGTCAGTTTGAGGATGAAGAGCCGAAGAAAGCTTGATATCCACCTTCAGTATCTCAAAGAGAGATCTCCAAAACTTTGATATGAACTGGGTTCCTCGATCTGATACAATATCATCTGGTAGTCCATGATATCGATACACATTATTGAGAAAGAGCCTTACTGTGACTTCACTAGATGATGTCTTCTTGCAAGGAATAAAGTGTGCCATCTTTGTAAGCCAATCTACCATGACCAAGATGCTGTCAAATGAGTTCGATGATGGAAGGTCCTTGATGAAGTCCATGGAAACTGAAGACCATGGTCGACGTGGAATCGACAATGGTTGTAGGAGTCCATAAGGGCGATGCCGAGGATTCTTGGATCTTGAACAGATGTTGCAGGAGAGGACAAAATCTTTCACATCCTTCCACATTTAGGGCCACTAAAAATGTCGAGAAATAAGCTCCAAGGTCTTGTTGAATCCAAAATGTCCCGCAGGTGGAAAATCGTGGCGAGATTGAAGAACTCAGAGTCGTGCTGGTCCTTTTGGAATATACAACCGCTCTTCAAAGTATAAAAGATCTCTCTCCACCTTAAATTTGTCGTCATTGGCACGCTGCTTGATATCAATGGCTACTGAATCTTTAATGGTCGCGACACGTACCTGATTCAAGAAGTCAGCATCAATTGGCACAATAGTAGCGCAAAGCTAAAATTGCTCTGGCTTCAATAACGTCATACATTGTTGATCAAACGCTGCTTCTCCAACCTTTGGTACGAGATACGATCTCTTCGATAAGGCATCAGATAGTCCTTGCTGCTTTCCAAGTCGATAAGTGATAACAAAATTGAACCTAGATAGCAACATACTCCACCAAGCTTGACGTTGATTTAAAACTTGAGCTGACATAAAATACTCCAAATTCTTGTGATCTATGTATATGATCAGTAGGTGTGCAACTCCTTCAAGAAAATGAAGCCATTCTTGAAAAGAATCCACTATAGCAAGAAGTTCCTTATCGTGGATCTCATAATTAATTTTAGCAGTAGAGAACTTTCGAGAATAGAATGCAATTGGATGGAGCTTCTTGTCTTCTCCCATTTGTGAAAGTATAGCTCCCAAAGCAAAATCCGAAGCATCAGTTTCTAAATAAAAGGCCTTTGTAAAGTCTGCGTGTACCAAGATTGGAGCCATAGTAAATGCGATTTTTAGGTCTTGAAATGCCTTCTCTGCTACAGGTCCCCATTTCAGCTTATCCTTGCATGTCAACCGAGTGAAAGGAGCAGCAACTTGAGAGTAATTCTTGATGAAGATCCAATAGAAGTTAGCAAAGCCAAGAAAGTATTGTACGTCTCTCACCGTCTTCGGAACCTCCCAGGACACGATTGCTTCCACCTTCTTGGGGTCCATCTTTAAGCCTTCCGTAGTCGCAATGAATCCCAAAAACTCCATCTCTATTTGGTGAAATAAATACTTCTCCAACTTGGCATATAGTCCTCGCTTGCATAGTTTTTTCAAGACCAAACGAACGTGCTTTTTATGCTCTTCCTCATTTTTGGAGAATATCAAAATATCATCCAAATAGATGACAAAAAAATCGTCAAGGTACTCTCGGAAAATATCATTCATCATATGTTGAAAGACTACTGGAGCATTGGTAAGACCAAAGGGCATGACATTATACTCAAAGTGGCCATACCTTGTACGGAACGCGGTCTTCCACTCATCTCCTTCCTTGATTCGTACGAGGTTGTAAGCTCTCCTTAGATCAATTTTTGTAAAAATCCTTGCACGTCCAAGTTGTTCAAAGAGACCAAAAATCAAGGGTAACGGGTAAAGATTCTTCTTTGTTACCTTATTGAGGCCTCGATAGTCCACGCACATCCGCAATGAGCCATCTTTCTTCTTCACAAATAAGATGGGTGCTCCAGCCGATGATTTTGAATGAGGGATGAAGTTCTTGGCTAGATTCTCGTCGATGTACTTTCGCAACTCCGCCAACTATGTCTGCGATAGATTGTAGATTAGGCCAAAAGGCGGTTGTGCTCCTTCTTGTAAGTCTATGGTACAATCATATGGTCTGTATTCCGGTAGCATGTCGGCATTTTTCT